AAAATCATCAAATGTTTTTTTTTATAATTTAATGGTCATATCCAAGTGTGGTCTGTACAGTTTTAACAAGAGGGCCATGATGGCCCTGAGGTCGCTCACCTGTATATAGGCCCCCCCCAAACCCCCCCCCCCAACGTTGCAGGGCCAATTTAACCCAAGGGCTTTTATTTGCACAAACTTGGTAGACACCCATAAGAAGATGTCTCATGCTAAACATCTAAGCTCTAGCTCATTGGGCTTTTTAAAAGAAGATTTTTTTTAAGTTTTTACTATACACATATAGTTAAAAACAATGACACCCCTGGGGCCGGGCCAGTTTTGACCCCAGGGCTTTTATTTGAACAAACTTTGTAGACACTTACTAGAAGATGTTTCATGCTTAATATCTAAACTCTAGCTATTTGGGTTTTTTCAAAGAAGATTTAAAGTTTTTGCTAAACACATATAAGGAAAATCAATGACCCCCGGGGCAGTGCCAATTTTGACCCCAGGGCTTTTATTTGAACAAACTTTGTAGACACCTATTAGAACATGTTTGATGCTCAATATCTTAGTCATAGCTCTTTGAGTTCTTTAAAAGAAGATTTTTTAAGTTTTTACTATATGCATATAGGGAAAATCAATGACCCCCGGGGCAGGGCCAATTTTGACCCCAGGGCTTTTATTTGAACAAACTTGGTAGACACCCATTAGAACATGTTTCATGCTAAATATCTTAGCTCTAGCTCTTTGGGTTCTTTAAAAGAAGATTTTTTAAGTTTTTACTATATGCATATAGGGAAAATCAATGACCCCCGGGGCGGGGCCAATTTTGACCCCAGGGCTTTTATTTGAACAAACTTGGTAGACACCTATTAGAACATGTTTCATGCTAAATATCTTAGCTCTAGCTCTTTGGGTTCTTTAAAAAAAGATTTTTTAAGTTTTTACTATATGCATATAGGGAAAATCAATGACCCCCCCGGGGTGGGGCCAATTTTGACCCCAGGGCTTTTATTTGAACAAACTTGGTAGACACTCACTAGAAGATGTTTCATGCCAAATATCTAAGCTCTAGCTCTTTGAGTTCTTTAAAAGAAGATTTTTTAAGTTTTTACTATATGCATAAAGGGAAAATCAATGACCCCCCGGGGCGGGGCCAATTTTGACCCCAGGGCTTTTATTTGAACAAACTTGGTAGACACCCATTAGAACATGTTTCATGCTAAATATCTTAGCTCTAGCTCTTTGGGTTCTTTAAAAGAAGATTTTTTAAGTTTTTACTATATGCATATAGGGAAAATCAATGACCCCCCGGGGCGGGGCCAATTTTGACCCCAGGGCTTTTATTTGAACAAACTTGGTAGACACTCACTAGAAGATGTTTCATGCCAAATATCTAAGCTCTAGCTCTTATGGTTTTTTAAAAGAAGATATTTAAAGTTTTTTCTTTCGGTTGCCATGGCAACCAGAGTTCTGCATGGAATTAAATTCTTTGAACAATTTTTAAAGGTGACCACCAAAGGAACATTCCTGTGAAGTTTGGATGAAATTGGCTTAGTGGTTTATGAGGAGATGTCATTTAAAGTAAAAGTTTACGGACGGACGGACGCCGGACGAAAAGCGATCACAAAAGCTCACCCTGTCACTTTGTGACAGGTGAGCTAATAAAAGGTGTCTTTGTTATTTTACAAACAAGATCTGTTTAATATGGTCAGTGATATTTCATGCATGCACCAACAGCTTTATTATATATTTACATTTCCATAACTGTATCAAATTTGAAACTTTGAAACAGTGGCTTGAATTTTCTTGGGATTCCTGTTCTAGGAAATACTTAATTTGGCAAAACAGGAAAAACAACATATTTGATACAACTTCAGTGTTTAACTTGAAGCTGAAGCACACAATTATTACAAATATCACACACTGTTTAGCGAACAAGCTTAACGGTCATTTTGTTATTGAAAACATTCTGCTGAAATAGATTTTAAGTTTGCATTTTCATGCTGTTTTCGTAAACGGTTAAAATTTTCTTAAATTTTTATTTAACCCTTAATCTGCTGAATGTGTGTCACAGATTTGCCCTGCTTAAGGGCTGCTTTAAATTTGTTACAGTCCATTTAAAGTTTACATGATTTCAATATCAGAATATAACAAGAGCACTACATGCAGTGTTAACACTTTTAAAAATAACCAACTTGACAAAAATTGAAATTTAAAAAGGGGCATAACTCCAAATATAAAGCTTTCAGAATTATGCCCCTTGTCTTACAATTACCACTTGTCATGATAAGCAAGTATTACAAATTTCAAACTGATATCTTTAAATTGTTTGAGTAATGGGCTAGATTGATTTTTTTTGCACAACAACAACAATAATGCATTGAACAATATAGCACAACTTTTCCTTCAAAACAGACAAGCTGAAACATTCAGCTAACAAAAGTATTAAGCCTGGTCAGGCTGGTGTGGCAAAGGCTTCTCACTTTTTAATTCCAGCAAGTCAAAAGTTAAAACAATGCTTACCCTATTAAATCTGTCTGGAGGAACATTTTTTAGCATTATAGGTTCCATAGTCTGTACATTAGCAAACCAGGCCTCCGGAATAAATAAAGCACATACAACATGACACCATCCTAAAATAAATGATTAACATATCTCCTGTATTACAAGTTAATCACTGCTAAATGCTGTGAAATCAGTTTTTCAAAACAAATACTTTCAGGACAATAACAGTACAAGATGCATGAATCAAACCTGATCTTTTTGATAAACAAAACACTTTTTTTGCATAAACTAGAGTCAACTTTATAATGATCTAGAAAACCGTTGAAAAGAAGATATTTTCTTCATATATTTTGACTTATCAAACAAAGAAAGGCAAATTGAGAAGTAAAATCTCATTATGAAAATTTTCAAAACTGCAGCAACAACAAGATTGGCAAAGGTACTGAAAAGCATTTTGTTTTTAATTTTTCTCAAAAGAATATAGATAAATAAACAATAAACTCTGAGCATTTCAACTAGAACATCATTCTTAAATTTACTTTTTTATTGTAAAAAAGAAATGTACCTCCACTATCTGTCCTTTTTAAAGCACCATCCTTTAAGGGACACAGCTCACATCTCTGAAAAAGAAAAGAAAAACTTATTTATTTTTGTTACATTCATATTGTATGCATACATTATAAATTTAAATTTTAAAAACTTAAGAACGCTCATAAGATAATTACATAATTACATCTACTATTTATTTCTTTCATATGTAAACTAAAGTTGTTACCATGACTATGCTTACTTTGAACTTCAGAGAAGGACTTTAATAATGAAAATTGTTTTAACTAATATCAAGTGTGTGAATAAACATACCAAGTAATAAGCATATTAATTAACAAGGTGTGATCATTTTTAAAATGCAATTTGTGGTATCTAACGCTGAATAACTTACAACACGAGCAGCTCTCTCTTGTGATTCACACTTTCTACAAAACCAAGGTCCTGTTGGTACCTGAATGATTCCATAACAGGCTGAAAAATTTCAGAACATAGATTTGTCACTTTCATGATAAGAAAATGTTATATTTACAGTGCAAAAATATTGTACATGTATGAAAGTGAATTCAGAAGAATCAGTCAAAGATGGCAGGGCCAAAAAAAACCTTCTTTGTAGAGGCCGAATATAGGCTGCTTCCCCAACCAAACTAGCAGCTTTTTTTCCCCAGTTTGGTCCTCAAATTTCCCAATCTTTTGAAATTTCCCATATAATTTAGATCAAAATTAAATTATGGTGTTGTTTTAAGGTCTTTTACTGCCTTATTAGTATTTCCCAGTGCTTTTTGCTTTTCTATTTTGAAGAACTTGTTAAAAGTTTGTGTTAAATTTGAGACTCCTTTTCCCAAAGTATGCCAAAATCACGCATATTTTCCCCAAGAAAAAGGCTAAGGCCCCTTCCCCAAAAATGGTGTTTTGGCCCTGGATGGGTTATACCCACTTCTACTGTTAAAATAAATTGGATATTTCAAATATTCAACTGATAATAAATGCAATTCTTACTCAATGTTTCAAAATTTAATTGGGTAAATTAATTTACACCTGGGACGATTGTCCTCTATATAAAGGCTCTAACCCACACATAAGACAAAGTTTCAGTTTTTGTTTGCCGATGTACAAATTTTTCAAGTAAGTCTTGTAGTAAATTCTTCTTCAATGACTACAGCTATTAACCAAGTTAGTAAACATAATGCATGTCAGGCTTCCCCATATAAAGGAAGTTGCAAAATTTCCATGTACAGTCATTAGTTTTGCCTATAAATCTAGCCATAAGGGCCCAAAAATCTTTATGTTAACCTTTCAAAGCAGCATGCCTCCAGATTCTTGTGAACTTTCATGAAAATTTTGAAAAAGTATTTAAAAATAGTGTGAAGTAAATAAAGAAAGTTATAATTTACACATTCAAATGGCGCTGACAATCCATGTAAATTACCAAAAGAAGGTCAAAATATGCAATAATACCACTTAACCCAGTAGAACATAACATGTAAAATTTATATTAATTGAATCTTTAGTCTATTTACTGTTCTTAAAATATTGACCAGTACATTTTTCTCCAGTTAAATTTTTTGAAATATTTTTGAATATTTTTGGCTCACCTGGAGGTATGCAGCTTTAATGATGAGCAAACACCGACTTTTAAAAACCAGCTTTAATTTTCAGTGCCTGCTTTAGAGTTTGAAAAGAAATTTTCTATATTATTACACATATGTTGATCTTAGAAAGGATTTTAACAATGTTAAAATCTATTTCACTTCTGCTTTTACTGGAACACATCCCTAGTTTTCAGAAGAAAAAAGCTACAGGTCATCAAAGTTAAAAAGTTTTTGAACTTATTCATAAAGTTTTATTAATATTCAATAGTTTAGATAATATATTAATAGGCTGGTGAAAAAAGGCTTATGACATAAATAGTGACTATTCTAGCGCGGAATGACAGGGCGCTCCGCCCTGCCCCTTTTTAGGTCCGCCCTTTTGCCTCTAAAACACCGCCCGTATACTGAAATGCGCCCCACTGCCCTCTTTTGCCTATACCCAATCAATATGTATAAGATAGATCTACATAAAAAAAACTGTCAATCACTTATCTATAAGATAGGATTATGATGTTGACACATTCCAATATACAAACCGGGTGCCCCACGGCGATAACAATTGACTGACCGATGTGAAGTGGGCCGTGTGAAGCGGCCCGTGTGAAGTGGTTTCAATCAAATTAGCTATGTTTGCTGCAGTTGGAAATGATTAGTAAGGAACATTACCGACTGATTGATAATCCGTGGTCATTAACTGATTAAAATGGCGATCATTTACGGAGACAATCAAATTGTAATGCATTTGCTAATTTGTTTGTTCACCAATGTCGCATAAGTCGGTAAATATTCGTATACTGTACAACTTACAAGTACAGGTAATTACAATTAATTATTTACACATATTAATCTCTATAATTGCGTAAAGAATCTTTAAAGTCATAAGGATGGGTGTTATGGTTTTCATTAATTAGTTGTTCATTTGAGAAACAAAATGCCGTCTGCGAAAAGGAAATTTGCAGAAATTGAAAAAGAGCGTGCGAAAATTCGCAAAACAAACCACAGTATTTCCTCTTTTTTGGAGCTAAAGAAAGGTACGATAAAAGTTATCTACATTTGCTAAGAATCGATTTTAAATGTGTTTCTCCCTTGCAATTCAACATTTATATAAAAGGAGGTGAATGAAATAATTTGTGTACGAAGCCACTACACTAGCAGTACGGCCCTGGACTGAAGTACGGTCCTGTACTGCAAGCCGTTCGTTACATAGACTGTTTAGACTAATTGTACGGTAATTTTATAGAAAATAAACAAAGACAATTATGAGTAAGCGAATATTTGTCTCTAGCTGTAAGACATTTTAATGAATTGAATGAATTATTAATCTACAGATTAACCGTTTTTCTGCGGTTGAAAGTCGGGAGATTTTTTTTTATGAAATAGTACAGTAACAACTACAGTTAGAATCTATTAGTTACCTGTAAAATCATATGTGAAATATAATAATAAATTGCAAGATAATGACAATTTGTGATCAATTTAAATCAATTCGAAATTAGATTTACTTTATAAAGATAAAATTGTTGGTTTTTCTTTGAACATCTCTGTACAGAGTACAGTACATGATATTTTTTTAGCTAAATGTGACTGTTATTGTGAAATATAAAAGATGACTGAAGTAATTTCAATAACTTGAAATTGTTTTATAACCCAAATTTAATTAGAAAATTAACCAGTCTTTCTATATTATTACAGAGTGACCTAAAGTAACGAACCAATTATCACTGCTCAAAGTACAGATTCAAATAATGAAACAAATTCCAAGTTATGAAAGTTTTTAACATGAAACCTTAAAATTTACATAAAATGTGACAATGTAAATGTAGCCCTGCAATAAAGTCATTGATACAAATATATACAGACAGTACAATTCTTTCATTGAACTGTAATTTCCATGAGCTTTAAATCTATAAAAATAGGACAGAGGACAGTCATGAGAAAAGTGAACATGAAACCTTCAAAGACACACATGAACAAACAAATATGACATTTTCTTTAAAATTGTTCACAACATTTTTTAGCACACACAGAATTAAGCTGTTCATTGTAACACAATTAAATATATAATTGTTTAATCACTTTTTTGCCAGGGTGGCATACAGAACTATTCACCTTCTTGAGGTACATGCAGCTATTATTTCAGTCACAAACAGTTCTTAGTTTATCTGTCTTGGTTTTAAGCTGTGCCACTTTTTAACAGTTCTCTCAATGTCAAAGGTATTCATCATTTCTGTGAATCATAAGAAGCTGATGCACACTATTGACACTATCACCATAAATATAGAAAATAAACACCACACTGAACCAAGTAACCAGAAAGTGTTGAGATATCTGTATTGACACATGTTCCACCCTGCCCCTTTTTGATGCCTCCCTGCCCCTTTTTCAAGTCTAGAAGTAGAATAATCACTAATAAAATACTATATTCCTAGAAAAATAATTGTTATGTTTCTTTCCAACTTGTTTTGCTTATGAAGCCTTTTTATATGATACAAATCAAAATAAAATTATTTTGGTTATCTTTTATTTTCTTGGAATTATTTCCCTTTTTCCCATTTTATGGCAACAAAATATTTGGAAGTTCATAGAAATTATGTTGTAATGTTAAATTCATAATAGATTTGTGCTTATCAACATCATTTTGCTCTAGATTATTGCGCCAGTACCTTTATTATATATATATTTGGATTAAATATTCTGTTTCTGGCATTTATATTTTGAAAATTCTTTGACACTTAACATTATACTTTGAAGTTTTCTCTGAAAACTGAATGAGTTGGCGCAATGAATAAGAGCATAAAGAAGTTATTTAACCTATTTTATTTTACATTTTGCATATATATGTTACATATTTTTAAGTACTTCAAAAATTATGCGTTATAAAAACATGAAAAGGGGGAAATAATTTTCACAAAAGTGACAGTAACCAATTGTTTTTCTTTCTATTTAATGTTAAATATTATTCTCAATAAATAAACAAAGTTTAAAAGAAATATCTTCATTACTTTTTTTCGAATTGAAATTTTTTATGTCATAAGCCCGATCGAGCATTTTCACCAGCCTGATTAATACTATGCTCAGAGCAACTGATAAGGTGCCTATTTACGCAATTCATTTTACAGAATACGCAATTGTTTCTCTTAAATTCCTTGCTGATATGAAGGTACAGGATCAGGCAGATACAGGTAGAGAGGTTCCCCACACACCATTTAGCCCCCATAACCCCATGCGTGATATTGATATCTCTGTAAAAGGTGTTGAGAAGCTTTTAAAAAACCTCAACCCCCATAAGGCTGCAGGACCTGATCAAATTAGACCCATAGTGCTCAAAAATACCAGTGAAGAATTAGCCCCTATAGTGTCCAAACTTTTCCAGAAATCACTGCAGTCCAGCACTCTACCAGACATCTGGAAAATGGCAAATGTCGCCCCTGTCTTTAAAAAAGGTAGCAAGTCAGACCCAGCCAACTATCGCCCTATCTCTCTTACCTGTATCTTGTGTAAAACCCTGGAACACATTGTCTCCTCCAGTATAACAAAGCACTTTACTAGATCAAACTTGTTCTATGAATTGCAGCATGGTTTCCGAGAAAAAAGGTCATGTCAATCCCAGTTATTAATGCTTATAGATGATATTCTACAGTCAGTAAATCAGAGAAGCCAAGTAGACTTAATCCTTCTTGACTTCTCTAAGGCCTTTGATATGGTCAACCATGAAAAACTCCTGTATAAGCTGCATTTCTACGGTATAAGGGGTCAGACTCTTAAATGGATCAAAGGTTTTCTTGATAACAGGTCACAGTCCGTGGTGGTAAATGGCTCCACATCCAGCTCCATACCAGTCTCCTCCGGTGTTCCCCAGGGCTCGGTCCTCGGACCTCTCTTATTTCTTATATACATAAATGACCTTCCTGAATATGTCCAATCCTGTAAGGTCCGTCTATTTGCTGATGACACAGCCATCTATCTATCTCTGACTGTCGCTTCTCATTCTAGCTTACTTCAACATGACTTACACCAACTTGAACAATGGGAAACAAAATGGGACATGCAATTTAATCCATCAAAATGCCAGGTTATCCAAATCACAAAACGAAAAACAGTCATTCCAACAAAATACCTCCTACATAACACCACATTAGAAACAGTTCCATCTGCTAAATACCTTGGCATTACAATATCAAATAATTTAACATGGAACAAACACATAAACAACATCACAACAAAGGCGAATCAAACACTTGGTTTTCTACGCCGAAACATCAAGGTTCACTCAGAAAGGTTAAAGTCAACAGCATACAAGACACTTGTCAGACCCCAGCTTGAGTACAGCTCCACGGTCTGGTCCCCCTACACAGGAACTCTCATCGACCAGATAGAGTCAGTCCAGAGAAGGGCTGCTAGGTGGGTCAAACATGACTTTGGCCGTATGTCAAGTGTCACTGACATGTTGACTTCCCTTCAATGGAGGCGCCCTGACCTTCGGCGTATTGACCAACGCCTGGTCATGTTTCACAACATCCTGCATGACCAGGTGGCTATTCCTTTCCCAAAGTATATCGTCCCTCTTACAAGATCATCTAGAACATCCCATCTCCATGCATTCCAACAAGTCCAAACTAAAACTGATTACTATAAATATTCATTTTTCCCAAGAACAATTGTCCACTGGAATGCTTTACCACCTGAAATCATAAACTTTTCTGGCCCCGAGTTCAGTCTGGCTGTAAGCCGGATTGAACATACGTCTCCTTAAAAATACCTTTTCTGTTTTTAACCTGTTTTTAACAATATACTCATTTCCTTTACTTTTATATTCTTTTATTTCAACTCTTTTACTAACATTCTTGTCAGTTGACGCGCGTCAAGTCTAGGTCCCCAGCAGGGGTTTGACTATATGGAAGATAGATAGATAGATAGATTGATCTTTTTAAAATGCTTATTAAAACCCATAAATTTAAAAAAAAGATATGCAATAGACCTTAAGATCCACATGTATTGTCATTATCGTAAACTGTCGTCTGCTTGTATGTGATTACCTTAATCCCTGCATGTGGCTTAAGATTATTGGCAGACAGACTGCAAGGTTTTGAAATTACTGGAATCGTAAGATGGATAGACTCAGCTAGAGGTTTTGTATGGCTATTCACTGGCATAGAGTGATAGACCCAAATGACTAAGTTTATTTTTATCTACATGTTTATTCTGGATAATCAACAGTAAAGACTTAGTAAAAGATTCAAAAGAGCTAATTTCATGGCTAGAAAATGAGAAATTAATCGTGGCCAAATAGATTTTGGATCAGTGACTGAGCTGTCAAGGCATTTTTCACCTTGATGGACGGCAACATTGCACCCATGTCCATCGCAATAGACGAGCGGATTCTCGGCCCAACCCCGCTCATCTGAACAAACGCAGCAACCTCCTACCATCTCTTTCATTTTTGCGCGCATTTAATAATCTATGTATTGACACAATCACGTAGATTTTGTCAAAAGAAGTTAAATTGTTTTGATTCCGCCATATTTTTCATATACATTGCGCATGTGCAAGCAAACGGCCTTCTGTAAGAATTGGTACGACGTATTTTTTGTGAATTTAGTTTCGTGATGCGTAAGCACGCAATTTACGTGCTATTGTTCAAAATTAAATAAATGAATAAATTAATGAAATCTAAAAAAGAGAGTTTCGTCTGGGACCAAAATTATATTCATTAAATAACTTTATGTTCCAGGTTTCATGGATAAAGTAGTAGTAGTTGGTTTCTTTAACAGAAATGCTTGCAATGGCGTATACATACACAATGTATTCTGAAACTGGGCAATCCTCACGAGAAATTTTCAACACTAGCAATTATTTGCTGTCGCCGGAAAGCTTTTATTTAGATGCATATATAGAGTAGTGGGCCCACGAAAGCCCGAAGGCTTCTTGGACACAAGCACACTTGGATATGCATTACAATGCAACAAACATTAATACAATGAATATATAGATCTATATAAATTTCAATTTGCCATGAAGTATAGTGAGATATATGCCACATGTAGCAATTTTCTATTGCTTTCTTCACTCGAGTAGATCTAAAAAGGCCAAAACACATGACATCACACTGATATGTAGTCAAACAAGTGCAACTAATTACGAGTTCCTAGCCTTTACTGGTAAATGTTTTTTACAGGGCTTTTGAAAAAAATATGTATAGATATGTAAATAATTCCAGTCATTAAAGATCATATATGTTGTAATTAAGGTTGTTGTATGTAGTTAATGTATGTAGTTAATGCTTAATGAGGGTCCATCCGCCCTTTCGGGCACAAAATGCAGCTTTCGCTGTCGAGTACGGACCCCGGACATGTCACCAGTCATGCCCTTAAGAGTTAATTTTGAAGCACAAAATGGTGATCATTTACCTGCATGCAATTTCCACGGAGTATTAGCCAAAGATATGAATTTTGAGCCAAAAGTAGGTCACTGTACGGCGATCAATTAGAACCTAAATGTACAGTAACCTGTGACAATATGAAAAGGTAGCCCTGAAAAGGGCTGTTGGTGCCAGCAAAAGGCCTGCCTTACAAGCCGTCTATCTGTACTAGGGGCTCACGCACTCTAGCACACCATCCTCGTCGCCCCAGCCTACTTTGTAGGGCCACTCCCCTCGGCATTAGTCAGGACACCGGCAGCTAACTTCATGCAATCTATCTAAGTCGTGCCGCCTTAAACGTTACCCCGAGTAGAAGAAAACATTCGAATTTGCCGCCTTAAACGTACACAATCCTTCAATCATCTGCCGATGCCCTGTGCCTTCTCAGCGACGTGCACGCTCCGACGGGAAGAGAGAAGAATTAAGGCTGTTACCACACGTGAAATTTTATATATGTATATAATTATGCTTCTAAAACAATTTTCAATCATCGAAGAATATGTAAATTATGTACTGCAAGTATTTTTCCACATTATATGTAATCATTGAAATATATGCATTCATTTCTTATTGAAAAATTTGACTTAGACTTAATAGAAAATAGATTTCTAATTACCTCCCTTTATTAACATGAAATGTAAATTCGTTAATATCTTTACAAATAATGCTTTTTGGAACTTACAATATTGAAAAATCGAAACGAATCCGTTTAAACGTGTAACCGTGGGAGCCTTAGTCTTAGGCCTATGTCATTTTATATATAAATCTTATAATTTGATATTGACAAATTTTAAATTTTTATTTTTTGAAGTTGTTATTTTTTATTAAATAATTACCAACTAGATTCTAATTCAAACATCTAAAATATCCACAATACTTACGTGGGTACGCTAGTACAATGAGTTGGACAGGTAACCAGAAATGAAATTTTTGAAATTCAATATATTTTTTTTTTTTATTCGAAAATAGTAGGCTTCAACCTAAGCTTGTTTGTCATGTGACAAACAAAATGGCGGATGTCTGAAAACTAGTGTCGTTTTTCTTATTACTGGAAAAAACATATTTTGTTTGTTAAAATCGTCCTGAAACACAAAAATATGAAGAAGAAGGTAAGAAACATGATAAATGGGAATGATTTAAAGCATAGTTTATTTTGTTATTCTAAATGAAATTGAATTGCAATATGTTTACGTCTAAAATATTGTAAAGTATTACGCACGTCACTTTAGTTGCTATTCCAGTCAGTCACACACAGTGACATGATTTTTTTTTTAAAGATATATAATAATTATTATTATTATTTATTGGAAGGTGATATCACCATTATGTGCTGTCGTTAAAATACCTCCATTTTAAAGTTTAAAAAAGGCTTGAAAATCAGTGATTCAGTCTCAAGCGATGTAGTGATCTCTTCTTAGTCATCTGTCTGTCCATCTGTCTGTCTGTTCATCTGTCACAAAACTTGTATAGACTTCTTCTCATAAACTACTAGTGCAATTTCATCCAAACTTTACAGGATTGACCAGCACTAAGTATTATCAGTTAAAATGAGTTTTGCATATCATTCAATGTTTTTTGTCAGAGTCTTTAATTTTTTTTTTGTCCAGACAACTTATAGTACTAATGTTATTCAAGTGAAACTTTACAGGATTGTACTTTCCCATATTTAATGGGTTTTCTGGTTGAAATATTGTTTGGCTGAGTTATGGCTAAAAGGTGAATGTACTATCACAGGTTTCTCCCATAATTTGCTGGTCTGTCCAGAGGGGAAAATTCTGGAGACTGGAAATACTTTACACATGTTTACTTTTCAGTCTGTCCAGAAGCAGATATCCTTATTGTGGAAATTGAATTTTATAGATTCAAACATTGTAAATTAGATTTAATTTAAAGTTAAAGTTTCTTTTCCCAGAAAAACCTGAAAATGCTTCAACAAAATGCCTTGTACAGACCAACAGCAGCTTGCTGTCTTACTCTAGACAGATTTAAGAAAGCTGCAGGCAGTCCATCTCAGTTCACATAGAAATAGAAGTCTACTGGTTTAAAATGTTTGGACTTAATACTTAATACATTGACATGTATCAATATCACCATGTACATTACAATTTATTTAAGGTTTTATGTATTCTTATTTGCCCATACAATGTAATATGGTACAGTAAGTAAAACCTCTTTAACAAAGTTCATGTCACATATAGCTCTTTGTTAAAACATTATGGAAGAAATTAAATACAGTCAACTATCGTTATCTCGACATCGCTTTTCTCGATATTTCGTTATCTCGATGAAATTTTGAAAGTCCCGATTTTCTTCCTTCTTTATCTATATTGGAAATATTTGTTTATCTCGATATTTTTATTTCGATTTTTTCAGTATCTCGATGTAAAATTTCAGCCCCAACAGTTATTTTCACACTAGTATCCTTTGTTTATCTCGACTAAAAGTTTTCTTTCATCTGTTCCCTTCAGACATTTGAAAAACAAAAACTAGACGATAATTGCTCAATAGCGCATGTCATAATGATTATTATGTTTGTAACAAGTTTAGCTGTTTTTATAAACGTTAATCTATTTAGCATGTTGATTGACTTATGTCCAAAATTAGTGAATTTTAGTATGTTCTTTATAAATATTCGAACACTGTATCAATTCATTATGACTTTAAATGTAAATGAAATAGTGAAAGTATAGAAAAGCTTTTGTTGCAATATTGTTTCACAACATCACCACCAAATCAATCAGCGGTCGAACAATCTCAAGAAAGACCCAATAACTAACCCTGGAGGATATCCGGATCAACCACCCTGAAAACAATGATTTCACTATATTGGTGTATTACTGAGTAAACCTCACTATGTGTTTTTATCACAGATACCCGTATTTCCGCTGGTAAACATCCGCTAATGTTACTTTGTTAAATATTGACTAGGCCTATGAAAACAAGACATGGGGATATCATAGTTTATTTGACATAAGGTATGCACATGTCTTTTGTAAAAATCAGTTTCTGCCTTATTCAAACCCTAATATGTTTATCTCGACATTTCGTTATCTCGATATTTTTTGGATGGTCCCAATGACTTCGAGATAACGAGAGTCGACTGTATACTAAAGTATACATGTATATGTATCATTTACAGGTATTATTGATGGGGAAGAGTGGGTCTGGAAAGACAAGTATGAGGTCTATTATATTTGCAAACTATATTGCTAGAGATACAAGGAGACTTGGAGCAACAAGTAAGTATAAGTTATCTCTGCAGACCCTAATATGTATAAGTACATATACATTTAGAAAACAAACAAAAACACACTGGTTTTCGAACATTTTTAATTTGTAACAGAAAGATACAAATGCACCAGAAAAGATGCCGCCATGGCTGTGATTTCAACTTGCCCTTCCCCTCTTACTCTAGACAGATGAGCTAAAGAATTGATTTTCTGATGTAGTTGTCAGAGTTTGTACCTATTTCTCTCTCTAGTTTAATCCCCTGCAGCATAGTTGGGAACTTGGGAGGCGATTACAGAAAGGACCTCTGTCTGTCCTTAACTTTTTTGTGTCCACTGCATAACTATATAAGTTATAACTAATGAAAAGTTTTTAAAATAACTTGGCAAAAATAATTACGTACCATTATCAGACAATGTGTAGAGTGCAACAACCAGGTCACCATCCCCATAACTTTTGAATTAAAGAAATTTTTTTTATTAACTTGGCACAAATGATCACAATTATGAGATGATGTGCAGAGTGAAACAATAAAGTTGCTACCCCAATGTCAAGGTCACTTCTAAAGGTCAAATGTAAAAAAAACTATGTGTTGTGTCCCCTCCATAACTTTAAAATTTATGAAAAGTTTATAAAATTACTTTACAAAAATGAACACCATAATAAGACGATGTGCAGAGCACATTAACAAGGTTGCTTTCCCAAAGGTCAAGGTTACTCTTAAAGGTCAAATGTAAAAAGTCCACATTTCTTGTCTTCTTCCCGGTACAAAACTTTTAAACTAATGAATTTTTTAAATTAACTTGCCCAAATAGTCACCACTATGACATAATGTAAAGAGTGCATCAACAAGGTTGCTACTCCCAAGGTTAAGGTCACTGTTAAAGGTAAAATGTAAAAAAGTCCATATTTTGTGT